CTCAGCGGAGCACCTTTCCCCCTCCGTCCAAGCCTGTGCTTATTTCACAATGTATGCATAATTAAATTTAGGGCATATTTTAATATAAAGTTTTAAGCCCCGCTCAATTTTCTAATGCACCATTTATTTTTGACTGAGCAATTACATCTCAGCTCGATTGACCATTGGCTATTTGCTTTATTGATCTCCATTCACTTTTGGTAGCTGGTGCTTTATCATCAAGGGTGAATACAGTTTGATATTGACATACTGGCACTTGACTCTGCTTTACTTACTAACATCACTGCCATTGAATAGATTTGTTTGACCTTTGACAGTGAAGCAGAGATAATGCAATAAGTTCTGTTTTTCCTTACATTAGCATTTCTTCTACGGGCTTTAGCTCACTTTTTTGGAGATTGAGCATTGCAATCACGTAACTGCTCAAAAATGAAGTGGCCCCCACCATCTGACCCTCATTATATTTTTACAGTGACTCCACCACTAAATCAATGGCCGTTCAATAGTTCTATTCTTATCTTTAGTGCCGTAGGGCATAGACTATTTCCTCATTTAATACAGAATACTTTTTCCAGTTTTCACCATGAGTTATGTTTGTGTAGGTGCCGCTTCTTTTTGAGAACCCTCTCTGAGGTGACGGGGTTTGTTTATGTGTGCTCTTTCACAGCTTTTAAGCACCATTGTTGGCTTAGTCTGCATTACAAGTAGCATTTTTTCCTGACTGATCCGTGACCTTAAAACTATGGACAGAAGCCAGTAACCTAGTATTGCTAGCTGTCTGGTCTATGAACCCGTAAAGTAAAATCCAGAGCCCTCGAATACTTTGATTCAATGATATTCTGGTTGTAGAAGGTGTGTTTACTTGCATTTTATGCTGTGATAGAGAAGCCCTTTGTAAAAGTGTTCTATTGTTAACTACTAGTTAAAAATTTGCTTTTACAGTTCTTTCAGAGTCCATAGGACAACTTTCACAGTTACTTCTTCTACACAGAGTCAGTATAGAGATCCTTGGCTTATTGCTCCTGGGGGCAGATTATTGCTATTTGATATGGGGGAGGGATATGGATATGCATCAAGTCTTGGATCCTGTTGTACTTCTTTCCTCTCAAACTCCTCTTCCCACTCACACTCTGTTTGCATCCGGTCCTGATGGAGTGTAACTGTGTGCTGATCGGGTGGGGGATGCTAAAGTTGACATCCATACTGAGGTGTGAATGTGGCTGCTCATGCATAAGGGAACATTATGTAAACCTATTGGCTCCCTTTTCTAGTCTGGACTATAGGAAAGATGGGATGTTTTTTTTACAGAATTAACACTAAGAATTTGTTCTTATTTAGCCCCCC